CTGTAAATGGCGGCCCCTTCCAGGAAACACACAGCCAGGCAGACTGGTAAGATTGCACTGTTGCAATCTTATCAAGATTCAACCATAATAACTCTACAAATCTGTCCACTGTGGGAAAGGTGCAACATGAAAGCCTGTGTAGAAGTTTGTCACAAGTCTTCTTACACAGCTGCTTCTGTATTTTAGCTGAAACCAGAGTTTTAACTTTTTTCATAGACAGCATGTTAGGACACGGTGGTGGCAGCATGATGCAGAGAAGATTTTTTTTCTTTTGCATGGACAGAAGATGATAATAAGTGGGAGGATAGAAGGAGGTGATTAAAAAAGATAATATTACTGGTCCCAGATGTTCTTCAACCATTCTAATGAGACGGGGCTAGTTCACGGAAGAAATGCCAGCCTCTGGTAGAGATGTAACTGGAAAGATATGGAGCCGGAATATTATTTGAAATTAGTTTTACTAAGCATTGACCCAGAGGGAGCAGAAGGCTTATGCACATTCACACCAGACTTTTTAGATTTAAATTAGCGCAAAAAACAAACAATTTTATGAACCATGTACCTTTTTTCCCCTCTTTCAATTACAAGTTTTACTTGTGATCCCAATATTATTAAATAAAGATCATGCTTTTCATATTTGAATATAAGCTATTTAAAATAGTTATTTGAACTTTGTAACTTTTGTTTTATTATATGTGGCAAACATGCTTGTTTTTGTTCACGATAGTTTATATAGGATAGTGTTGGGAGAATAACCTGTTTGAGAGGGTGAATAACCGAGGCAGTAATTTGTCTTATTTGCTCTGCGTGGACCTTCCTCGTCCAGCTAGTGCATATAAAAGTCACAGCATTTCACTCACTTCTTTAGAGTGTCTAATTTTTCTTTTCTTACACTTTTAGGAAACAGGGGTTTTGAAACTTGCCAGAGAGTGTCCCTAGAGTGGCTGCTTATGATCACCAGAAGTTCCCTGTGCATTAATCATAGCAAAGCATGGGAGATTTGACATGACAAAATATCAGCAACATGCTGTTGGGTATTCCAGACTGTCCTTCTCTGATACAGCATGTCCTTACTTAGAATTCTGTTGAATCACACCACCCTCTGGGCCATGCACACCAATCAGCAGCCATTCATGAAATCAAAGTGGACTGCTCAGAATTGTTGCTACGTTTAAAAAGTTTTAATTGCAACACCTCACGAGGGAATCAAAACGTCACAGGACAGATTTTGATGACAGGTTTAAGGAGATTTGGGTATTTAATTTGCAAGTATTCTTTCATTCTAACTGATGCACTACTGCTTTAATTTAAATGATAATCCTAGTAAAAGACAAGGAACTAACAAGCGTAATGGACAGAAGATGGATCATCAACAAAATTGCAACATCTATGCTTAATATTGTTAAGATTTAAACAGCAGTAATATAACAAAACATGCATACTCTCGCTTTAATTTCTTTCCCCATTCCTTATTAATTTCAGTGAAGAGCTTTAAGTGTATGGAAGTAAAATAGGTGTCATGTGGTTCTGGTTTCCACTCTCTGTGGTCCAGTTTGCACAATGGGATTGCATGCATTCATAAATACATGAAGTCACCAGATCTGTTATTGTTTTGTCTCTTCTTACACAGAGGAAGATTTCATTAAGTGAATCGATACTTCATTAATGTCAGCCTCCAGTGGTGAAGTGATAAACTCCAGCTAATGTGGAGAACCAAAGAAATTTCTCCAATAATTGCTCACCTTGCATGATGGACCATTTCATTTGTCTCTCCCAGTTCAGATTAAGGGTAATCGCTGTGCCACCTCTTACGCAATGTGAGGTTTTGCTGTGATATGACAGCATTCAGGCAGTGAAGTGGGGACAATAATAATTATAAGTGCATGAGATTTAATCACTGTGTCTGGGAAGCTGAGGGAATTTGTGCCAGTTGCCTCTTCATTTTCAGGAAAAAGTAGGCCCACTATAGGCAGCCAGGTTGTGCGACAGATATTTGGAAGACTGTGAATTGCATCCGTCCCTTCTGCAGCGTTTCTATTTTTACCACAGAGACTGAGCTCTGAGAACTGTGGCTTTAAGGTCCTTTTGTGAAAGTGAATCCATTAACTCTTAATGGATGGCCTCCCCGTGCACAGCTGCAAGGCTCTCTAAAGACTCAACGGGTGGATCTGAACTATTTAAGATAAGAAATTATGTGATATTTATGCACAAAAATACTAAACAGTGTTAAGAAAACAGCTGGTGCTGACCCAGAGTAGTACCTTCAGAGTTACATAATTTCTCCCTACGAAGGATGCAGCCTACTCTGCATGCTTTTGTGCTCTCCTTGTCTCTGTGAGTCAATGTGTAGCCCACATTAAAATGACAGCTGGAATAATTTCCAGGACGCGTCATGATTGTTTTTTTTTTTTCAGGTTTGAAATGTTGATGGATAAAAGGCTGCATTTTGATTTGTTGACAGATTTTGCCGTTTCAGGTTTGCATTATTTCTATGCATAGTGTGAAACATTTCATAAAAATCCTTTTTTGGGGCTGGAAATAAGACAAGATGACGGATTGGTCTGAGTTGAAATCCATCAGTCCTGCCAGATACAACTAGTAAAGTGCAAAGCTGTTGACAAAATATAGCTGCAAGTTCTATAAATGGTTTCCAAAAAAAAAATTTTTTAATTACACAAAATTTTATACTTTTAAAAAATATTAAGGAACTCTGTGGCATAAATAGATATTAGTGCTGCAGCTAATAATTATTAATCTTAATTCTGTCGACAATGTTTTTGTAGAACAGATTAATGATCTGTCAGCAACAGCTGATTATCAGAGATTTATTTATTATTATTTTTATTTTTTTTTTCAAAAAATTGAGTAATTTGAATGGCTTGTACATACATGGTGCTTTTTCTTTTTTTCCAAGTCAGCAGACTTGACCAAAGCACTTTACACTTCATTCAGTCATTCACTCATTCACCCACTCTAATGGTTGTAAGCTGCATCGTAGCCACAGCGGAAGTAAAGCTGCTGTACACTGTTGCCACTGGGCCCTCTGACCAACATCAATAAGCAATGCAGGTGAAGTGTCTTTCCTGAGAACATAAAGATACTTGAACCAACAACCCTTTGGTTGTAGGGCAGACTCCTGCATCTGTTTTACATCTCAAATGCAAAATGCATATTTTTCTGTATTACATTACTGTATTGTGAACATTTCTTTAAAGAAACGGCATTTTTTAAGAATCTGTGCACTCCTGTTAACGACTACTGTTATTATGTGACAGTTATTTTAAAAATAGACTAATGGTGATTCATTGTTTCAGCCCTGATTTAAAGGTTAATCTTAAAGATGTAACTTAGGAAACTACAATATCAAAAAATTGTTGTTGTTTATTTGATAACTTCTTTTAACAATACATTTCCATTATTTTTAAAGTAAATATAAGATATACTTCAAACATTTTTTGGTTCATCTTGATTGTAATCACTTACAGCTGATGAAACCCCTTAATTAAGGCTAATAGAAAATTAGAGGGTGTGTAAGATCTATAAGAAAATGTTTTTAAAGCAGAAATATTATCCTAATCTACAGTATATGTTAATATTAATAGCTCAGGGATCTATTGTTTGCAGTGGTGGACTTTAGCACAGAAACTGTTAACTTGTGACACAGCAGAGGTGTTAAGAAAGTCCAGCATGCTTCATTAACGCTTTAAGCTTATTTGCATTGTTCTGGTGCTGCTCATGTTCCTTTGGAAATACCTATAGTTTGTCTCTGGGGTTTATGTCTAGTCAGC